TGGCATCTACAAGCAAATTCTCAAGTCGAAGCTAGCTGTCGGCATCAGCCCTCTTTATCTCAATGATACCCGGCTATTCGCATCGTCACTGATCAGAGACGATGGTCAAGCGACCAAACAACCGTCTTTTCGGAACCTGCTCGACAAGCACCGCTTTTCAGAGTCTTCAGATCCCAGGGACAAGGTGTACGCATTTCTCAGCCTGGCCAACCGGGGTATGTCTCCATTTCGTACGCAGCCTAACGCGCTTACGCCGGATTACAATCTCAGTGTACAGGAGGTCTTCACACAAACTACAGCGGTACTCATGTCGTCTTACAAGAACCTTTCGTGGTTGTCACACGTGGAGGACTCCTCGCAAAGACGGATATCGGGGTTGCCATCCTGGGTACCCGACTTGAGCGTGCCGCTTCAACCTTACCCGCTTCGCTATCGTGGTCCGGCATACTGGCATGCTGCTGGCAACCGCGCCTGGCGTCCGGATGTAGAAAGCATGAAAAGAGGACTTCTCCCGGTGCAAGGACATCGATTAGATCAAATCGATCAGACTTCGCTGCTTATCGATGAATCGGAAGACCCTCCGGCGGTATGGGCAAGCATCGTGGACCTGGCCCTTGCGCTTGATTTATCCTACCCCGACCCAGGCGGCACTGGCAAGGCGCCATCGCGTGTCGAAGTACTCTGGCGAACGCTAACTACCGACATCTACAACCATACATACCCTGCTCCTGTAGAAACAGGCGAGCTCTTCATCGATTACATCCTCAACCTCCAGATCCGGCATCGCTTGACTCCATGGTCCAGCGCCGACGATTTCCAACCCCACCATTCTCCATTGACAGAGTCTGTATATCCAGATTGGCGCAAACTCCTTGAGCTCGAACCACCAGGCTCGCCGTACAGCTTCGACTCATATTCTAAGCGCTTAGTTGCCGTGGTGGAGAGTATGTTCAATGGTACATATTCGCCAATCGGGCTTGCGCAATTACAACACGAGCTCGATCAAAGCGCGGGCCGACAGCGAAGACTATTCAAGACACGCGGAGGGTTCATGGGCACTGGAGCGAGGTCACTGCGCGTAGGCGACGAGGTCTGGGTGCTGTATCGCGGCGGTCTTCCCTTTGTGCTGCGGCCTTTGCCTAATGGCCGTTATCGTCTTGTCGGAGAGTCATTTGTGTACGGGGTGATGCATGGGGAAGTTCTAATGATGGATCTTCGTCGACAGAATATCGTTCTTGAGTAGGATGTTTGAGTCTGTCACAGTGGAACCCAAAACGATGAAGTACTCGATATCTTCACGTGCTATTCGCCGCCATGACAATAGCGCTCCTTTCTTTCTATTACCCCTTTACTTCGCGTCATATATCCCATCGAATGTTGCGACAACTATCCCTCTCCAGGAATGGCTCACTATACGCCCACAAAGTACTTCTCCCGCAACGCATCATGCAACCTTCCAAACACACCTCCATGCCACGTCCGAAAATCGTCCCATTCTTCAGTGGGTATACAAGAAGCCATCATGTTCACCCATCCACCCACAATAAGATCCGCATAGTTCGCCTTCTCACCCTCCAAGAACGGCCCCTCTTCATGAACCATGAAAAGATCTGCCAGTGACTTCAGCGCCGCCTTGAACGCTACCTTGAGCTGCTCTCTAGCCTCGCCTTGAATGCAGATACTGTCCCAGGAATTCAAGTGCGCACGTTTGCTCATCTGTGCCTTCGCGGCGTCTGCGGTCTCAGGGTTAAACGGCATGTACTGAGCAACAAGAACCACGTGAGCAGAGAAAGTGGCGTCAACATGGGTGTTGAACTTTGCATACGCCTCATGTTTGGCCCCTTCGTTCAATGTGAGGGGTGCATAGAACATGGTGTCTTTATTCGGACTCTCGTAGTCAAGCCCCGTGTGAGTAGAGTCTTTAGGAAATAGACAGCCACCAGAATCGGGAAACGTGTCTTCGAGGTAGTTGGCAATGTCGAAACTGTCTCCGATGACCTTGTCTGCGGACGAGTCTTGCAGCATGGGTAGGGTGTGGAAGTCGGACCCGTCGTCTAGCTTACGTGTGGCGGGACAGTTGAGTCCCTTGCGGACGGTGGAGATGTCGAGGAGGTCGACCCAGGTTGTTTTGAAAGGTACGGCCTTGAAACTTAGGGCGAGGCGGGCCTTGGAGGGGTTGGGTGCGTAGGAGCGGGGCTGGATTGGGGAGGAGATGTCGTAGAAGACGAGGGGGTTGGAGTCTGTCATCTTAACTATATCCGATGGAATAGAAGTATAGATGCCTTGTCTTGAGGGCAAGTGAGGGTGGAGATGTTGAGTTAGGGAGCTGTGCTGTGGAAGATGCAGGTAGGCCATGCACGTAAGACTAAAGGAGCTTGGCGGGTTGCGGGGCGACACGAGAAATAGAGAATAGCAACGACTTGTGTTCGCACGTGTTGCAAGAGTTTACGATGGGTTTTGACAGGTCTCACGATGTTAGCTGTTGTCGACAGACCTGGTGCTCCTGCCGGCATCTCAGACAGGGCAAGAGCGCACGGACCCGAAAGCAGCTGTTAGAAGCAAGACGGATCTTGTTCCTGTGGAGCAGACACGACCCCAAGAGCTTTGACGCGTCTGCAGTCCATGAAGCTGATTTTACGACGGGGCGCTCATACTCGTTTGTTCGGCGTGTAGTGGCCGATGTGAGCAGCATCGGGCAGGTTCACGCGTGTAGCGATGACTAACACAGCGAATGACTGGCTCGGCACCAGCTCTTGTCCTCGTCATAGGCCAGCCAACTGCTCACACGCGCGATGGGTGTCGCATTCCCTACGAGTGCAATGCGTGCGGCGAGGGTATATATGCCACGGCCTTTGGACTAGCAGCAGACAAGATAACTAAATGCACCATGTCCGCCACTCTGCGTGCAAACGCCTTGGACTTCCTCGACGTCGAGCACGATGACGAGCTTCCTGGCTATGACGAGGCTATGCCAGCTCCTGCCTACGGCGCACACGACGGGCCCCTCGCTACCTACTGTCTCCGCCAGTATGATCGCAAAATACAAATGCTCGCTGCCTACGATGCGCCCGTCGCTCCCTCGTACCGGATCACAACCAACAGCTTCCGCGTCTTCTCCAAGAAGCCGGAGATGGAGGTGCTCCATACTTCGCAGGACATGCGACAGCGCAACATAGCCGCACTGTCCTATGACAACGACGGAGGCTTCCCCTGGCGGCCCCGCGCGCATTTCGATTACACCGTGGAGGATGGCTCGTGTACGCGGTACAAGATGGAGTCGATGAACTTTGAGGACTGGAGTTGCACCATCGACGACAAGACGTACGTCTGGGCACTCGACATGCGACCAATTGCATTGGTGCTGAGCGACAAGGACTCTGGCAAAGTCATTGCGCGCTTTACATTCTCAGACAAGGGCGTGCTCGCGCTGAGAGGTGCAGAGGTTGGCGACTTGACCATCTTCCGCGACGGACTGACGCTGGCGCCAGGCGGTATCGACAAGGTGGTCTGTGGTGTCATGATTGTCGTTACCTTCTTCAAAAGAATGGGTAGGAACTACACGAACCCGAAGACGGATGGACTGGGGCGAGTGGGGTCGGTGGCCAGAGAGATGCCGCTGCCGTCGCTGCATCGGGGCTCGACAGCAGGCTACTCGAGTTTGGGCAACTGGGCAGGATAGCATGCATGTAGCTGAAGGTTGGATATTAGGTGGTGCAATGCAGATATTGGCTGACCGAAAGACGCGAAAGGTACCATGTTGCTGTGCTTGTGCCACGCGTGGAAGGGCCGAGAAAGCACCTAGAGACGAGATGGGTGTCGATCTGGGGCATGGCCTACCAGAGCGTGGGTGACGGCGTCATGAGGCTAGAAAACGGCGTGACAGCGCTCGCGCACTACTCGAGACAGCGGCGCGGACCGGGCAACGACTGCTAGCAACCACCTAACAGCCGTTGTGATGTTGATGTTTCGACGTGATGTTTTATTTCTTTGTGCCGGTGGCTTCATGCCAGTCATGCCTCGGAGGCGAGGCAGGACGCTTAACCCCTATGCGCGCCCGACCCGGGCGAAGGTTCTGGATCGCACCGACTCGAGCCAATCTGCCGATCAAAAGAGCAGGTGGAGACGGGCCCGTCCAAGACGACAAGGCCATCCCCGCTTGCCAAGTCGCTCGAACTCGTGTTTGCTGGTGGAGAGGCAACGCTGCGAGGGCGCCCCAAACACCACAGCAGACACTGCCAGACAGCGTGGTGACACTGAGTGTGGCTGACAGCAGTACGCGTCCAGACTTGACGCCTCTGCACAGCGCAATCTGCTCTGTCCATGCATTGCCCTGGGCCAGCTTGCAAGCTGTGGCGAACCAAGCCTTCGCCTGGGTCTGGAGCCATCAGCCCATGTTCAACGTTCGAGGTGTCTAGCCCGAAGGGACCAACGCCTAATCTCGCCCCGGGAGGCCCGCCCTCTGCCCTTTTCCACCACCGTGGACGCGACTGCGACCTGCACCGAGCCGCCGCCGCCGAGCTGCTCGTCCAGCTTCACACTCATCGCCCGCGCCCGCCAGAGCTCCCGCTCGTCCTCTCTTTTCGCCAGTCCGCTGCTCGCAATCGTTCGCCCGGGACCTGCGGCCAAAAGCAATATAAACCCTGCACCACCAGAGGCCGACGCACCTGTCGCGCTGCTTCGGGCCTAGCAGCCTTGGTCGTGCTTTCACTCCACCTCGCCTGCGTGCCTGCCCTCTGAGCCGCGCCCCAGAGTAATCGAGATCCTGTACTGATCGTCGACGATACGCTTGGAAAACTCCGCCGCCGCCCGCTGCGAGGAATGGGATTCGCACATTTCCCTCTGCCTACCCACAACACCCGCCCTCGCGTCTGTCAGCTCGCCGGTACCGCTTGGACAGCTGAGTGAGATCCGCCCCGGCTGCGCATTCTCCACCTATTCCCGGGCTGCGTTGCTCCCCTCAAAGCACGTCGGTAGAACAGCCTGCGACTCTTCGCAGAGCCATGGTCAAGATGCGGATTCCCATCCGCGAACAGTTGGGATGTCTGGTTCTGCTGGCGTCCATGATAGGCCTGGCCGTCATAGCCGTCGCAACATGGGTACATATCGACGCTGCATACTCGTCCATGCTGGTACTGACTTTGCCAGCTCACCAACCACAACTTCGTGCTCAACATCCGCTCGACTCGCCTGACGCTGACAGCCTCGCTCAAAGCCGCTCAGCTCTCCTCGAATCTGAACTTGATGCAAATCCTGTCCCAGCAGGCTGCGAACCGCCTCTCCCCGCAGGCTGCCCTCAACCGATACTACGACGGCAACACCTCGGACGCGAACTGGGCCCGAGTCGACGAGGACTACGATGCTATCTTCTCTGGTGATATGCGGACCCGTGTGGCTGTCCAGGCCCAGATATACCCCTTCAATTCCTCCGAGCGCTCCGTCTTCCACCGGACCGCACAGAGCATGAGGGACGTTGTGCTGCCCATACTCAAACCCGACGGCACGAATGCGACGCTAGGCGATGACGAGTACGGCTTCATTCCCGAGCTCTACCCCAAGTTCTCTGTCGAGACGATTCCCTACAACGACACCTTCAACACCTACAAGGCACACTACGAAGGCAGGACCATTGACAACACGAGCTACCTCTTCACCGGGCCCTACCGCGTTAACGAAACACTCAGCTTGGTCTCGGTCACCATACCCATCATCAACAACACGTCCAACATTGACACCCTAGGATGGCTGACGGCTGTCCTGGACGCGTCGCTGATTACCAATGTCGTCAACGCCATGGAAGGTCTGGACAACAGTGGTCTTACCCTGCTGTTCGGCCCGGACAATGCCACGAATACCTTTCCTCCGGCATATCTGTACGACGCCGATACCCCCAACGCTCCCGAGAACGTACAGGTTCGCTACCTCGCCCCGCCAACACAGCGAGCAAAGGTGCAACGGCATGGCCAATACGACACCTCTCTTGACCCGCCTCCGTTCGACTGGGCAAGATATCCCGCCATTCGCAAGGGTTTTACCAAGCCTACTGGCGCCACCAACAATGCTGGTAGCATCATCTCCACCAGAAACGAGGATGGCGACGATGTTGCCGTTGGGTACGCTGTCGTTAACAGTCCCATGGTCGACTGGATGATTGTGGTAGAGCAGACCCACGATGAGGTCTGGGGACCCATCTACCACCTCCGGAACGTCATCCTTGCCTGTGTGTTTGGCACGATGGGTGCAATGCTGCTTCTGGCATTCCCCGTCGCACACTTCTCCAGTCAACCCATTCGAAGATTACGCGACGCTACCAAAAAGACAGTAGCGCCTCACATGTTTGAGGACGACGACTTCAGCTCGCAAAACGATGGCGCCAACGACAGTTCGGAAGATGCGGCCCTTGCCCGCAAAGAGGGCTTCTTCGGTCAAATCATACATTACCGGAGAAACGCAAAAATGAACCGAGCAGAGAAGAAGGAAGCCGAGAGGCGGAGACAGTTCCGCATTCCAGGCAAAGTCAAGGACCGCAAACACTTCATTCACGATGAACTCACGGATCTGACAACGACCTTCAACGAGATGACGGATGAGTTGATGATGCAATATGAGAAGCTGGAAGAGCGGGTAGCACAAAGAACAGCTGAGCTCGAACAGAGCAAGAAGGCGGCCGAGGCGGCCAACGAGAGCAAGACGCTGTTCATTGCGAACATTTCGCACGAATTGAAGACACCACTCAACGGTATTCTGGGCATGTGCGCCGTGTGCATGTCGGAAGACGACCCAAACAAGCTGAGACGGTCGCTAGGCATCATCTACAAGAGTGGAGACTTGCTACTCAATCTACTGACAGATCTCTTGACGTTTAGCAAGAACCAGGTCGGTCAACAGCTCAGTCTTGACGAAAAAGAGTTCCGGCTACGGGACATTAGTTCTCAAGTCTTGGCCATTTTCGAAAAGCAAGCAAGAGAGGGCGGCATCAAGCTCGCTGTCGAATTCGAGGGACCATACGAGAACAACCTGGACGATAGCGGACGGCCGAACGAGCTTCGCGACCTCGGGCCTTTCGGGCTTGGTCGACTCAAGGACATGGTTCTGTACGGCGATCAACATCGAATACTTCAGGTGGTCATCAACCTGGTATCGAACAGTCTCAAGTTTACGCCACAGGGTGGTTCTGTCACGCTTACCATCCGTTGTCCCGGCGAGGCACACATGTCAGACAGTCGCAAGGCGTCTCTGCAATCACGGCAGAGCTCAACGCGCAACTCGAAAACCCGCGTAAGAGCCTCCGCGTCAGAGGTAGGATCCGTCTCAATTGCAACACCGAGCGACAACTTTGGAACCGCCAACGTCATCAACGTCATGGGCAAGGGAGATGCGTTCTCCCGCTACATGGCTCAGGAGCGAGCCCCAACACCGCCACCGGGACGGTGGTTGTCTTTCGAGTTTGAAGTCGAGGACACTGGCCCAGGTATTCCCGACCATCTACATGCCAAGATTTTCGAGCCTTTCGTTCAAGGCGACTTGGGTCTAAGCAAGAAGTTTGGTGGCACCGGTCTTGGCCTGAGTATCGTCTCGCAGCTGGCTGGTTTGATGAAGGGTACGATCGGTCTCAAGAGTGAGGTCGGACACGGAAGTGTCTTCACTATGGTAATACCGTTGAAGCACCTTACAAGTCGGGCCGACAGTACAGCCAGCTCCAGGAACGTGAACCTGGAAACCGGGACACCGCGCCGCAGCTTATCGATCGACGAGCCGCCGCGAGGTCGCTCACATGATGACGCGCTTTCGGCCCGCTCGATACAATCCGCTACAAGTGGCCCGATCGTCGCTGGGAACACCGCTGCTACTGCTCCGTCCGGGCCAGTTGCATTCGACACCGATACCCAGCCTCGTCTTGTCGGTCTTAGTCAGCCTTTCTTCGCTTCGAATGCGCCATTGGAATCACCAAACTCGCAGGTCGCCGCTATGAAGCGTGTTGAAGCCGAAGCAACAAAACGTGGAGACAAAGTAAAGGTTCTCGTCGCCGAAGACAACAAGACAAATCAAGAGGTTGTACTGCGCATGTTGAAGCTTGAAGATGTGTACGATGTCACTGTCGCAAAGGACGGTCAGGAAGCGCTCGACTTGGTCATGGAAAGTATGGAACGCAAAGCTCCATACAACCTCATCTTCATGGATGTCCAAATGCCCAACCTGGATGGTCTGCAATCAACGCGACTGATCCGGCAGTCTGGTTTCTCCGCCCCCATTGTCGCCCTGACAGCTTACGCGGAGGAGAGTAACGTGAAGGTATGTAATCAGCGTCCTGATCTCGCTACTATTATACTAACAAGTCATAGGAATGCCTTGACTCAGGCATGGACTTCTTCCTCTCGAAACCTATCCGCCGCCCCGCCCTCAAACACGTCCTCAAAACATACTGTCCTACTATTCCAGAAGAAGAGTCGGATACAACACCACCCGGTTCTGCGGTCTTGACGCCGAAGCCAAATGGTGTAGCGGTGAAGCCTGCCCCACCAGCGGCGGGGTCCACGGCGCCATTCACCATCGTTTCGGGAACGAGCGATAACCGGCGTGCCGATGAATCGCCAGCCATATCGCCCATGACCTCGCCCGCAGCGTAGCGCTAGTGAGGCATTATCTTGCTGCGCTCTCATCTGATCTTTCTCGCTGGATGCTTCATCTCTATCCAGCGAAACCTCTGTCTACGAAGTTCCTTGTAATGTCCTAAGCACGATACCACTTAATCGCTACTTTTCTAATCTCCGTTTGCGATATTATAGTCTTCCATTTTTCTTTTGCGGCAAATGTACATAGCAAGCATGGCGCTGGTCGGGTACGGGTCGATTTCCTTTTCTTCTTCTGCTGGTCACAAAACATCTGGGTGTGCGTTTTGGCGTTTACTCTTCGGCCTGCAATTGCCAGAGCCTTCTTATCGCTGGGCTTGTTTCTTTGGAGAGATTCTGATTTGTCGTCATCCTTGATGGTGTTTACTTGGTGTTGATCAACGGGGCGATGTGACGTCCGGTAGGGTCTTTTACTAGGCAACAAAACATTTGGTGGGGATCTGGCATGAATCAATTGAACTTATCTTGCAACGCCATTTTGGCTGTTGCGCAACACTTATACTGTCTGGACTGGTTGTCTCACTGTGTTCTTTGCGATACTTTGCGAAAGATGTGAATGTTTCAAGAGATGGAAGATCTTGCATCTTAATACCACCTTGTACAGCGAAGGTGCGCTGCAGTCTAAGTTGGCGTAAAAAGGTATAATGACAAAATCACAAGGCAGTGTGGTCTTCTAGGCCGACGGTTTTATGTGGGTGTTAGACTTTTCTTTGGATGTTGTGATACTATCCGCTTGTCTGGAGTGTCCTCACGTGAGAGAAAGGAAAGAGTAATGGGATGACTCTGTCTTTTCATATATATCAGGGCTAGGGAATCTGAGATAGACCCGAGTATCTTTCGGCATACATCGTCATGTCTGCCAGCCCAACAGTAGTATCTAGTACTATACGCAGACGTTCGGGGCGTTGAGCACCAACGCACGGGTGTCCGACACCGCAACGTATGAACAATGACCAGACTCAAAAAGAGCCCTCCAGATCGGAATCTCCATCAGGATGTGCGTAGTAGCCGGCGAACGGGTTAGGAACACTCCTCTCGGGACCTTCCAAGCCAGTCAAAGCCTTCACAAACGCCTCGTCTTCCAAGTTCTCTCGTTCTGAATCATCCATGAGGTCATTGTCAACAATGCCGAAGTCAACTTCGACAGAGTTATCGATGAACGCCATAATATGGTCCATGTAGGAGTCAGAGCGACGGCCCTCCAGACGTTGGTCTTCTCGCACCTTCTTTATCCACTTTGCCTGCCAGGCTTCCGGCGCAAGTGCGTAGTAGTCCGAGACGATGTACTCCGTTTGCTGGCACTTCTCCCAAGCAACCACAGTGACTACGGTACCCTCCTTCATCAACGCGTTGACAACGCGACGTGAGCGCTGCAAGACCGGCGTACAGTATATGAGAGCACCATTCCATTCGAGCTTGACCGTGAGGTGGAAACCCTTCTTGACACGCACATCCAAAAGCTTCTCGAGATTGTACGCGAAGATGTCTAAGCCCTCCTTGCTCTGAATGGGGTCTTTTGATCGGCCTCCGTCTTGGATGTAAGCGTCCGGCGCCAGGGTGAGCTCCAGGCGACGAATGTGGTCGAGAGGTTTGACGCCGAGGTGGAAGTGATCTTTAGACAGGAAGTGGGTGAGTTCATGAAGGTTATTAGCATCCAACTGACGGCCGGACATCTTGCGATAGTATGCTTTGGCGACTTCCTTTGCAACGTCCATACCGACATACTGGTGCTGGACCCAGAGTGGAAGCTCCCACCAAAGGAAACAGCGACAGTTGTCTCCCATGCAGGGTACGGACCAAGGCGCCAAATTGATCTTGTCCTGCCCTCGATGGCCAGTGGACGCGAAGGACCGTGGGAAACTTGTAGTGCTCGAAGTCTTCTCGTACAAGGTCACGTCATCGAAGACTAGCCTGAGCATGGGCTCGTCCCAGACGTAGTCGTAGACCATCTCGCGGAGCTCTGGTGGTAGAGTGGTGTGGAACTTGTCGATGAAGTTGCGGCACAGCTTCTCAGCGACGACGCGGCTGAGGTGATGACATGCCCTGCCTACGTCCTCCCGCCTGGTCTCGAGCTCTGCAACCTTGTTCTTGAGTTCATCAAGCCTGCGTGGGAGTTCAGCCATAAATCCTTGTGCGATCGCTCCAAGACAGGACTTACTCGGTCTGGACAGAAATCTCTTCTGCGAGAAGCCTATAAGGTGTGAGCAATCGTTTGTAGATGTCGCGAATGTTATCACTGACCTTGACAGCTCTGCCTCGGTTGCCTCCAGCGTGGGCGCGTTGTCGCGGAAAGAGCTTGCGTTTGCCATACTAAGGACTCAAATATGGATTTTACGCTGAGAGTGTTTTTTGTGAAAGTATTGGGAGTCGTAGGCGTGGGATAGCGGATGTCAGGGTCCGCGCTAATGACGCGCTAACGCAATGCTGGTGGTGTCACGAGAAAGGGACCGAGCTTTGAGACACCGGGCAGTTACGACGTTCGTGTTGCCGTTGAAGAGAAAGGGTATGAGTAGAGTGTTGATTATGATTGAGACAGTCCTTCCGGCCTTGGTGTCGCGCGCGTCTATAGTCTAGAGTCTTGCATCGACCCGTCCTCGTCATCCATTGCGGATGTGTGTATGACGGCCTCGCGCCGTATCTGTCTTTTTGAGCCTCCGTTTCCCCATTTGCATATCCCAATGCCTCATCCGCCGTTCATCCATACCTTGGTCCCTTCTCGCCAACTGCCGACGCTTGTCTCGTCCCTGAGCCTAGTACCATCTTCAAAGAACGAAGTCTCAGAAGAGTACAATTGCCCGAACGGAGGAGGAGCACAGTCTATTCTAGACTATTGCTGTACGCCCAAATGTGGCGATGGCGATTGAGAAGGTCGGGAGAGGAAACAGTACTTCTGAAGTGGCATACAGCGCAGTTCGCAATCCATATGGATAGCCTTGATGTTCTGCCCCATCACCTATCATAGGGAGCGTCCGTCCTCATGATGTAGATCTCGCCAACAAGAACTACCAGACCGACGAGCATGGTGATCGCGATGATGGGCAGATTGACGCGCGCAAACTCCAGACCACCAACACGGATGTGCTTTCTGCCCAGAATATCGCGCCAGAGCATGCCCGCCAGCGATGCACTGAAGGCGAGACTGAAAGCACCGTAATTCACGCCAATCGCCATGCTGTATATCGTGCCCCAGAACGTTCGATCGGATATTGGAATGCCGTTTTGACGGTGGATTTCTTGCCACGATTGTACCACCCTAGAGATGAGAATTGTGGTGCCGATGTTAGTTCCAGCAAACTGGTCCAAGGTTAGCTACTGGAGTTTTATGGTGAAATGGACACTCACGTTACACAGTATGACTGAAACGAAGCCCATGCCTCCAATCGCACCAACCGTCCCTGTCTTCTCAACCCAGTGGTCCCACCCATGTGCAAAGACCGGAACCCAGCCCTTGGTGACCAAAGCCTGGACCAGCACGAACATGCAAAAGGCGAAAGGAACAAGCGCCAGCGGGAGGTGGTGGAAGACAGTCATAGTTGTCGGAAACGTCTCCTGTGCCCATCTATACGTGTCTGCGACGAGTGACGCGAGTGTGGTTGGCATCGGCCTCTTGGCTGGCTCTAGCCTCTTCTCGTCCTGCGATACGAGTTCAGCGCCCATCATCTCCCGTGTTCGACCGCTCAATATGTGACTGGAGGCCTCAGTCAATGGCCGCGACTTCTCCTCGGGGTTCTGGGCCGTTTTGTGATCCGCTTGAGTGGCGGTCGCGTCCAGCTCTTCTTGTATGACAGACTGCCTCCTAGTCTCAGCTCTTTCAGCAAGTGCGGCCTCTGCTCTGCGTCGGCCCTCGTGGGCGATCTTACGTGTCTCTGCCCGGTTGAGCCAACCCATTGTGAGATCGAAGATAAGCATGACGAATGCAGCGGGTAAAGTGACCCAGAACACCGGACGTTCATGAGAGCCTTGAGAGGCAGCATTGATCGCCAAGACAGTAATCAGTGTAGCTGCCATGATGGCTGCTCCAAACATTGCGCCTTTCCTATCCAAGAATGGGTTCAGGACTTCCTCGAGGGATAATTTCTTCTCTTGTTCGTCGTCGTCACTGTTGGGATCGCTTTCGTTGTCTTCGAGTGCACCTTTGGCGAAGGGAATATTGGGATTGACCGGTTTCTTGTTCTATTGGAGGAAGCTTTGTCAGCACATACTATAACACCTCGCTTGTGGGAGTGCTTACCTTGAGCTCATCTGGAAGATCTTCCATCTTGATAGAGGCGGGGATGAGAGATTCGTCGTGGAAGATGATGTACAACAAGAAAGGATACAGTACAACTCCCGTGACAAGAACTGGTACGATAATGTTGGCCGTGTACTTGATGAATGTGATCCCAAACGCGCCAGCCAAGACTAGGTTGGTCGGATTGGATGATACCAGTATCGCCGATGCGATGTTGGCGACCGAGAACTGTGTGAAGATCCACGCCCTTGGATGCTTGATGTTGCTCGATACACGCGTCATGTACGACAGAAACGCAGTGCCGGATAGAATGACCGGATCGTTACCGATGAACGCAGTGAGAAGGAAGAAGAAGGCATACAGGTAGAAGAAAAGCCGGTGACCGACTTTCCCTCCTTTCTGCAACACCTTGAAAGCTAGCCATCTAATGAGACCGGAAGCATCAACAGAAATGGCGATGTAAGCAAGAGAGAGGAAGAACAGCATGATATCGTATGGAACAATACCCTGATCACCCAGGGTGCCACCCTTTACTTCTTTTGCGCCAATAGCAAGGATGGCTAGTAGAAAGAGATCCGCTACCAGAGGTGTCGTTATGAAGTTCATGGGAAAGTCGAACCGGACGAATGGTCCAGGCTTGCCATTCCGGACCCTCGTTGGGTGTTGAGGTGGTGCGATGATGCGCAACGCGCTCATGGTCTTGACGAATGGGGTCCATAGTATCCGCGGCACATATATGGGTATGTGGAATGGAAACAGAACATTGATGTCTACAAGCATTTTCTCGTTAGTCCGCCATCTGCAAGGTCAGTATACACACGCTACTTACTTGTCAGTACGAAAACAATGAGAGTCACTATGGAGCGCCACTCTTTGATCTTGCTAGTATCAAGGTCAGGCCTCTCTGTCTCTGTGGCGCGCTGATTCAACATGTTGCGCCCCGTTGCAATGCTGGAAATCCACACTGCAAGATGATCTTGGGGCCAGAAAAACCCTAGGAGGTGTCCTGACGTTTAAAACGTGCAAGAACAAGCTTTTGGGTTCTGGGTAAGGGCCGATTGATGGGTACGTACGCCCGCTAGACGTTGCAGGCGATCTGTGAGCCGGCGTGCCTGGACCTCCGTCGCAACCGTGGACTTCAGTACCGATGCCGAGAAATTGCTTGTACGATGACGCGCGACATGGGCATGGCGGCAGGCAAGTGAGGCTCTTGTATTGTCGCGACATCTGCAGCCCAGGAGGCTGAGCTCGCAGCCCAGGATGACAAGATGATGGCATCTCGGCGCCGGTTGGGCCGCTAGCAAGTAGCGCCTCCCGTATCGAGAAAGGGTCCAGCGCTGACAGGTCATGCCTTCCACTCAGCCTCTCGCCCTATGCAACTGCGACAGGCGAAGACGATATAGTTCACCGGTAATCTGCATTGCCCCAAACCATTGGAGATCTACATGGCACGCCTTACCCCGGAGTCGCGCCCTTATGCGCGCTGCGCAATACCTATGCCGCTGCTCTTCTTTCGTGACGGCTCATCCAGCAATGTCTTCATCTCATCTGTCTTTACCCATACCAGGGAAGCATGTCTGCAACTACAGCGCTATCCGATTTTGCGACCGCTACTTCGTCCGCTACAACGTCTAGCCCAACGCTACAAGTCGTCTGTGCCTGGCCCATTTCGTCCAACTATGGAGCAGGGTCGCGTGTTAGTACCAACTCCTTCCCACGTGTAGAGTGGGTCTGGACCTATCAGAAAACTGATGCATGAATACAGATCCTGTACTATGTTCTTGTTGCCGCATGTGTAACTTTTCGCAAAGCAGAATGGCTACGGAACACATGTCTGGCTGCCGTGTTAATTCTGCCGGCCATCTCGGCCCTGCAGGCCCTCGTGCTAGCAGCCGCGCATACGAATGGTCAGTATAACGGCCACCAAGAACTCCAAGAAGCGCATTTCTGACCAAGAACCGTAACAGGCGGCGTCGATATGGACATTTACGGCGTAAGTTCTTAGTGCCAATATGCTGTGCGACAAACACTGATCGATCGTTTTCGCCTGTGCAGGCTTTCCAGTTTTGCGCAATTGGCATTTTAGCAGCGCCTCTCACCGTGAGACTGTCGCGAACTTATTTCCAGTCTCCCGGTCGCAACATCATATTTCTCTGGACGATACTGATCCTAATGGGGCTGTTGGCCCTCTGCGTCGAGTTCTACCGGGTCACTCCAACGGCCTGTAGCAGCGACGACAATGGGAATCCTTTCCAAGGTGCCGCTAATTTTCCGTACGAGCATGCTACTTGCAATCTGACTTGCTCTGAAAGCGTGGGTCCGAATTCTCCGATGCGAGGCGGATCTGCTGCCGACGTCTATGTCATTCCCGTGCCGCGCATCCTGACTTTCAACGCCGCCATGCTGCTCTCGGCCGGATTTTGCATACCTGCGATACTGTCCCTGATCTTCACATGGGATAAGATTCTGGAGATCAACTGGAAGAGACGACGTCACGTGGAGCCGCTAGACACTCGGATCGAGGGCGCCAACATGACCGTTGGAGAGATGAAAGGCATCAACAACGTCGTGAGAAAGTTCTTGAGTGTCATAGAGATCCCCTTATTTGGCGGGGTGATCATCACGATCATTGGCGTTGGCGAAGCAAATTTCTTCAGTCCTCAGGTGCGGTATATGACGGAACCTATGGCTTCGATTGGTGAGTAGTCTAGCGCAGTGGTATGTTCGGTGCTAACAAAGTCCTCAGGGCAATGGTCACCCATAGCTGGAACAATCTTGGCCGCACTTGGCTCTCTATATATCCTGTGGTCGACTGGTGGTGATGAGGCTCCCCAGGGGAAGCATGTGGACCATTGTGAGAACTCTGGCTCATCACGCCCCAGTCGTAGTAGCGAGCGACGACCATCTCCACAGCCTCCTTCCCCGACCTACTTTAGCCCCAAGGGTATTGCAGAGAATGGCTTGGGCATACGCTCGGAGTCGCCCAATGCTATTGAACTCATCCCGACTATCACGCATCCCGGATCCGAACACCCTCAACCCAGCCCTTCTTCTTACGATGATCAACAAGAGAATACCCAGGCTGATCAGCCGACAGCCGGTAGAAACGTTGTGCGTAAATGGCTGACGTCTGCTGGCAATTACCTGGGCGACGCTGCGCATGAGAAGCTTGATACAGATCATGTCGGCAATGACGAAGACACTCATAGATTTCCCGAAGTTCCTGGCGAGATCCTACGAAATCCCGATCTAGAAAGGATCAGTCGCACGTACAGTAAGCTCCGCGAAGAGAGGGAAAACAGCGTATATGCGGCAAGTATTGCATCTACGTCAGGTATCGAGGGCAGTACATCTCCGCCACCTATACAGGATTCGCCGCGTCCCGATATCAGCCCTGTCCGACGACCAGAACGAAGGGCTACGCTGGAAGTACCAAAGGAAGCGCATCGTAGGAGCGAGAGCCATTGAACGCTTATAGGCCAAACCAGGCTTCCGATACGGTCAGATGCGAAGGAACACTATGGCCTACCCCTACTGCCCAAATACCTTCGACACTCGGTCCAAAGTCGTCAGTGCGGTAGTTGCGCTCTGGCGTATCTTTCTTCGAGCTCGTCGGCGTAGTGCTGACTCCAAACACATTGGTCCACTGCTTCAGCGTCTCGTCGTAGTTCTTCGGGCTAAGCGTTCCATCTACCGAGCCATGCCAGAATTCTTGAGAAGTCAGTACGTGGTTCACGAGCGCACAAGACCTGGAACTTACGCATGCGCGGTCGTGTTCCATTGTACCCGGGATACATTCCTCGAACTACGTCACCCCAGTGCTGCGCAGTCGAGATGGACTGTCCGCCGGAGCAGGTGTTATTCCATGCTGCCGCTGCTCCGGATGCAGAGACGAAACATCCAGCCGGTACACCCGAGTATAGAGACACTGCGCTGATGAGCTCGGGATATGTGGCGGCCAGAACGTTGCTCATCATGCCACCCGAGGAGCCACCCGTAATGAACACTTTCTTGGGATCGATCTTGTACTTGTCCATCGCATAGATGATCATGTTCGCGATCGCGTTCGAATCGCCACCGCCATTATGCGACAACGAAGCTTTGCTGGATACATCCCAACACTCAGTCGTGGAGCTCGGCCAGACCGTCACGTAGCCTTTGCTATCCGACCCTTTCTTCCATGGAATCAGGGAGTTTTGGAAATACTTCTGTGCCGACGACTGGCATGAGTGGATCGCCACGACTAGCGCATCGCTCTTGACCTGGTCAGGTACATACACCCACCTTGGGTAGTGTGTTAGTCATTGCAACCTTGGAAAGGCGGGGCGCGGATCACTCACATGCCTGGCTTTGCTCGCGCACTACCGCCATAGTTCGAGACTTGTGTCAATTGCGCAGCGAGAACACCCGAAGCAAGTGCGAGGGTTGCAACAAAGGTTCGGGCGAGCATGTTGGAGGAGCTGGAGGTAGTTTGGCATTTCCATGTCGGAGCTTGGTCACTATATACACCCACAAGCTCCGCATTGACAGAGTGGGGTCGACTGTCATTCGTGGAAGTCGATTTTTTCGTCTCATCATGTAGTGTTTGTATCTTGTGGCACCACATGGAGTACAACAATCATCAGAGCCGTTATTAGGTAGCTCCGGATAAAGAGCGAGGTGCTCGCAATCAAGCTTCATACCAAGCATTTTCGCACATTACCCGCATATGTCTGTATCCCTGCATTCCACGTCTACCACTTTGCGACTGCCGATGTGAAACACAAGGACTTGATGTTACTGGTTGGCCCATCCTCAGAGTCTAATCCAGCTACTCTAAGTGCCGAACGAAGCTTGACGTCAGGCGCAGCTTTTAGACAAGCCTCGCGATGCCTGAAAGTAGCGCAATATAGGGACAGAGCAATGAGCAAGTGCTGCTTACAGAGGTCCGCGGATAGAAGGGTGGCTGGGCTGAATATCTGGTACGTTATATGAGGCCGACATTGGTGTCATGTGGGGAGCTTCGCGAAGGTCGTCCTGCTTACTTTGAGGCACTTTGAGCAGACAAGACATAATATCCTCCTAAGAATAGATCAGCTTGCTCAAACAGTCACTTTTAATCGCATTCCGCTCAGGGTAAGAACATTCACGATGTGGTCCCTCCTCGCATCCACCGTCGTACTCTTAGCCCGCCGGGTCTCTGCTCATGGCGGAGCTCTGAACTATACTGTCGGAGACACATGGTACCCTGGGTAAGGCCAAGATACAGAGTCCTCAAAGAATGTAAACAAGTCGATCCAGTTAACGATCTTTATAGCTACGATCCTTATGGCGACCAGGCCATGCAGGATGCCGCCGTATGGATGCCACAACGAAAATGGATTTCCAACAACCCCATTTTCGAAACCACCAACACGTCTCTTTCCTGCAACACCCCCGGTACACCCGCTCGCGCATACATACCCATTCGCACGGGCGAAAACATAACCGCCGTGTACTCGTACTGGGTGCATACCGTCGGTCCTATGATAGCTTGGATGGCATACTGCGACAACGCCGAGAATGACTGCACGACCTTTGCTAGCGAGACGGCAGATTGGTTCAAGATCGGCGAAAAGGGGTTACTGGAAGGAAGCATCGAAACTGGGGAGTGGTTCCAGAAGGCGTTCAGTATGTGGGATGGGAGTCCAAGTCTGTGGAGTGAGATGGTGCCTGTAGGGCTGAGGGCGGGAAGATATTTGGTGAGGCATGAGATTATTAGCTTGCATTCCGCGAATAGTATGTCCATGGGTCCTTCCTCCAGATGCAGCTCTTCGAGGATGAGGGAAGGTGCAACGCGCTAATGATCTGGGGTGCTCAGAACCACAATTTTACCCCGAATGCGCGCATTTGGAAGTCACGAACGATAAGGAGGGAGGCTCGATTCCTAGTGAGGAGTATATGGTCAAGATTCCAGGCGTGTGGAGTATGGACCGTACGTATACCAATGGCCGAGTAAAGAGTATGCGACTGATGATAGATAGAACCCGAGATCAATATCGACATTTACAGTCCCGAGGTCTCGGAAAAGACGGTACGTCCAATGGAGACATGAGTTGCTGCAAAAGCTTATGCTGACGACATTGCCTAGGTATACAACATCCCGGGCCCACCCGTATGGATTGGAAAGCCGTAGGTCGGCATGGAGAAGGCGTAACGGACTGCGCAGGCCCTGGAATGACGGTCCAGTCAATCGAGGGTTTGCACATCACAATTCAGTTATCCTCTGTGGCGCAATTGGCTAGCGCGTCTGACTGTTACAGCTTGCAGTAGCAGTCATCAGGAGGTTGGAAGTTCGAGCCTTCCCGGAGGAGTGAATTTTTTGCTGCTTGTGCGGACAAGACAATAGACTGGCGTGGGTTGATGGAGAAGTACATTTTTGAGATGCTGGTTGTGGGTAGTGCATGGACTGACAGCTGCCGAGGATCCACCTGGCTGTGGGATTACATAACCGGCAAACGTCATCGATTGGCGCTATGGCCATGCTCCTTCCTGCGCGTCCTCACAACAACACTACGCGTCGACATATACAAGACGTCGCAAGCGGCATTTCATACTGTCATGACGCGATAGAATGCGTGTTTCAATGTGATCGCGATATTGTACGTTTCAAAATTCTCATTCGAAGTCTCTTGCCGCCTGACTGCCAAAGCTCTCCAGGGCTAGCACTATCTCAACGCACACTCCACACCATCCACGATACCTATGCTCGCCCACACACCATGCTATAATGTCACCTTCTTTCGATGGCCCTTGGAAGATTGAGTCAATCTGGCCCTCCGGTCTTTCCGGGCAACCAGCCCTGACTTCACGAGCGTCTTGCCTCTCTTCACGCCGGTCTCACCTCTAGACCCCTTGTCTGACCTGACACATCGTCTTCCTCGGCCTTCTCCTCGGAGGCCTTTGCATCATCACGGTCTCTACGTGCTCTCTGTCTCTTGGCTTTCTTGGTATCTTTTCGACGGGGTCGGGCGGGAGTCGTGGTGGGTAGGCATGGTACTTCCTGGGCAGTATCCTCTTGGTCGATATCAGGCTCCTTCTCGAGCCTTTTCCGGAACGCAGCTTGGTCTTGCAGCTTCCGGTAGCGGTTCTTTTGAGGTTCGGTCATCCCTTCCTCCTTCTTCAACAACTCCTGTTGCTCCGTCTTGTCTGCCATGGCTATGTCGTGCTCAGCCTTGAATGACTCGAAGATGGCCTTCCACTCGACCTTGACATTCGGGTAGTTGTTGCGCGCGTTCTTGACGTCGAGGTTGTAGCCCGCTAGGTATGGATGCACGGCGCATCCTTTGGGAGAGATACACTGAAAGCGCTGCCCACAGATCACGACCTCGTCGTATGTATCTGACTTCTTGTCCATGTCGATGACGGGAGCGAGACACCAGCAGAAGTGCAGCGCGCTGACACATCTCATTGATGGGCCGCCGCCACACTCCTTGTCTTCGCAGTGGTGCTGTGGTTGGAGAGGTCAGTGTATTCTCTCAACATAAGTCCAGTCTCTCTCGGCTACCTACAGCGCTGCTCATTCTCTCTTTCGTACGTATGTTTCTCATCATGGCGGCGTTGCTGTCGTTCTTGATATAGTGGCCGAATATCTCGTCCAGGTCCAAGGAACTCTGTCGCGCGTAGTTAGGCATCTCTGTGGCGATTGCATTCGATATTTGCTAGATAGTAGAGGTTTATGGGTAGTGCAATCAAGCAGTTAGAGTCGGGAAAGACGTGCAGGTCAGTGAGGTTGTACCTTTCGTTGGCAGAACGAGGGATCACTATTGGCTGTTGTAAGAGTTGTACGCCTTTACTACTCGGCTAATAGGCACTATTTACATTGTTATTGTTGTGGTTGCTGCCTATCAGTTTACTCGGCTCAGGCTGCCTCGCTCGCTCCGAGTATCGCCGACATTGTGGCTATATATCCCTACGAGCTTCACTGGAATCGTATCTGCCGAGAGCCCCCTGAGTACATCCCCACTCAAGGGCATGATGATCGGCCGCTGCGAGCCGTCACTCGAGCTCTGACCGGCCCATATCACGATAACCTACTAGTTGTTCTTCTAGCAGTGATTGACACACGACGATGCATATACAATGACTGAATCGTTAATCAAACAACACCGGTTGCTCCTCCCCGATCCCACCCCCGAAAGAAACACACCGCATTAGACACCCCCGTCTTAGTACACTTATACATATACTAGAATCCTAGGCTCCTGGCTAGGCTCGCATAAGGAAGCATAGTCGAGGTCTCAATTGTATATGTATAATAACAGTCTTTATCAAGATCGTACTCAAAGTGTTGGTAGTTACAATCAGGTCTTACATCCCGCAGCGCACATCTTACAAGAGACGAGGAGTGGAAATCCTATGTACTAAGTAAGACTATACTCTATGCAACTTTATCTAAACCTATGTCATTTTCTTACTATATGAAATGATATCTACGATGCGTAATACTGCCCGTCACAATACAATTAATAATACAGAAGAGCCTTCGGCCAAAAACAGTGTGAAAGGCGGCTATTGTATCGGCTATCGATTGCACTAAGTAGCAGAGCAGAACGTCACACGCTGGAAGCCTAGCTACTTTCTCTCCATCCACACATGATACGAAGACACAACCAACATACAGTAAGTGACACCCTAATGCTCTTAAGTGAGTAGTCAAGAGAGACGCATCTGCCTCAGTAGCGCAACGTAGCGTCCCTTGGTTCTCTCGTCCATCAATCCGCACGTGTCGCCCACTCTTTTAGGACACCTGTTTCCTTCGGAAGAGGGCGCTACGTGGGCCTCGTAGCATCTTCTTCAGTTTCTGGTTTTGGTATCAAGTCCATTGCCAGGTCTAACAATTCTTTCCAGCCTTTATGAGTTTCCAGACCTCTGATAAAGGTCGACAATAGCACCATGGTCTCGACATCCGTCTCTAGTTTGTACGCGGTTTGATATTTGAAAATACTGAACCTGCCGTTCGCGGTCATGCGTACCTTGTTGCTTATGACTTTCATCATCTCCATTGACCGTTGCCGGATGTTGTCAATAAGCTCAGACACATGCCATTCGGCGTAAGAGGCGAGTAGCGGTACATCAATTGATGCAGTCGGTGCTGGATCGCGGGTCTCCTCATGCTCGTGGGAAAATTTCCATGAGAAGCCAACGACTGCATGGGTGGCACAGGTAGTGGCGCATCGTGAGTCGCAAGCTTCAACTAGGACGTGCGTACAAAGATCAGAGTCCAATCGCGTTGGTATCCGAACATACCAGGACAGTCCGACTGATACGCCACTTTGCCCAGAAATGGAGCGCCATCGCGATGTGTACATTGCGACTTCGACAGTATCGTGGGCGATCTCACTCCATTCTCTGTGAGGCTTGATGCGTCGAGACGTTCGTATACCCATAGCCATCTCCATAGAGGAACATCTAGTGCGCGCGTACTTACTGTCATCGGCACCGTGTGGTTGCGGATATAGTTTATACTTGCGAGGCACTTCGATAGAACCTTTTCGTCTAGGCGGTTGATATCGCGGAAGTCGTGAGCGGCTCCATTTGCACTGCGTTATCGCAATACTATGGCCGCGTAGTTGCATAGACCGGGTTTTCATCAGTTTCAGACCAACGTGACCGCCCATGTAGTCGTCTCTTTGCCCTTTGATAACATAACGATTGTACTGTTCGGCAAATCTGAAAGGAGACATTAGGATGTCTAGCGCCAAGATTTGCTGGAGAAGCTGTCATACAGTGAGGCTGTAATCGGCGATACTGATGAGCCTCAAGTCTTGTTCAGTCCCCTCGAGTAGGCCAACCAGAGCGAAAACACCGTCTAGAGGGACTGATCGAGGTAACATTCCAAAATTCTCAAACAATGCCTCAAAGGTCCTCCACGCACTTCGATAGCTTATGAGAGCGGTCACATTGTTTCTAGTTTGCGTCCATTCGTTAAAGAGAGCGCCATCTCGCATGATCGTCAACTTGCTCAAGGGAAGTGTGTCTTTTCCCACCAATAACTGGACTTCCTTTGCAAGAATGAATTCCTGAACGATCCACATCCGCGACCAATACTCGGCTTTCGAAATGTACTCGAACAGATGTCGTTGTCGTGTATATTGGCGTCCATCTCTTCGGCATCGATAGTACAAATCTATTATGTACTGTCGGTCAAAAATGCCAGTATGAGGCAATGGTTCGTAGTCGCCTAGCCAGCTGTAAACGCACTTGGCGCCAGAATAGATCTGTTTCATCTCTTGAACTTGATGACTCCGCTCTTGAATGTCGTCCTGATTGATGCATATGGCATCCAGCCATATCACCTGCGGCTGGTAACGGCTGCGGAAGGCTTTTAAGAAGCGGAAGAGATTTTCTCGCACTTGGAAGTGTTCGCCGTCAACGAATATGGTCATTTTTGGCTCGGGCGGACCCCAGACGTACGACCCAGCGATATATTGGTCTCGTTCGCGTGAGATCGAAGACGTGAATAATTCGCATCGTAATGGAGAACCTTGGCGCAGGCTAGGCAGCACGCGCAAAAGTCGGAAACTGTCGCTGTTGTGCAGAAGAGGCGAGTACCGGGTAGAGGCAGTCTGCCGGACCTGTGTTGAGTTGGTAGAGACACTAGTGCTTGTGTTGTTTGTTGACATAGCGAAATCCCTGGCCATAAGGTAAAGCCCCGGTTCCGACTGTGAGATGCAAGGCAGCAGATTTGAATGAAGGGGTTTCTGAGGAGATATACTAACGGGAGTAGACAGAAACGAGTGCGGCTGAGCAACGCCACAGACTTGGCAGCTGACATCAGGCCAAACCAATCACGTCCTCCGTGAGAAGCTTCGAGGAGGCCATCATCGCATAAAATAGATGGCGAACTAGTCGGATATACTGCATCTCGATCATGCGAAGGACGATCACAAGGCTGTGATCATAAAAAGGTGCCTGGCGCGATGTATTGGTCGTATCAAGTAAGAGACCGAAAGATGTAAGGGGAGCTGATTGCTTTGATAACGACGGAAGGCGTCGTGTACATTGTGAGAAATGTGACTGCTGCCTTGAAACAGGAGGTAGCCTTGGAGAAAG